CGGGAAGTTCGGGGAGGAGTTATATGAAACGTAGTCAGTATTTTAATAGATATATGAACAATTATATCATACAGAAACAAGCACAAACATTTGCTTGACCAGCCACAACATCAGCATAACCCCCTGTCGCCGATCCATCGTGCAATGTGAACACAGCAGCGACTGAATGCTACCCCAGATAGTCACGCAGTGTGAAAACAACGGCGATCCGACGAGTTTGAAAATCGTGCAGTGTGAACTCGGCATAAGAAAAAGCGTGCCATGCTGTTTCTTTCTTCTTCTTTTGCTCAATGGTCGTTTACATGCTTCATGCATATCGCCACCTAATTGATGGTTGTGCAATCATTTTTATACTTTTTCCGTTTAATCTTTAATCCTTGAGAATATGAATTAAATTGTTTGTTTGATGCTAATTATATATTAAGTCATATCAGATATGTATTTTGATTTAGAATTTAGACATTATAGAAAATGCCGATACATGTGTGAGATGATAATATAAAATGTAATAAATATAATAAATTAAACATTACGTTGTCATAGTGTTTTATAATTTAAACAGATAACTGTTATATATGCCAATAAAATAAATAATATTAGAATAATATATTACCTTGTTTATTACTTATATTAGCGCTTCATTATTAACATATCATACATATAAAAAATAGGCTATTGTCACAGGTACTGTGCTCTAAGGAGACAGGCGCACGACGCAGGAGTAATCCAGCACACAAGCTTTAATTCCAACTTCAAATCAGGAGAATAATCAGGAGACAGATAAATCAAAGAGCAAACTAAACATGACGGTGAACGGACCCAGACTAAGGGAGAACTGAGGATTTATAAGCAAAACCCAAACAAAGGGAACTAATTAGATGATTAATACAACACAGGTGAAAACTAGTGAATGATGATTAACTAAATGAGAACAGGAACTGAACCAAATAAGGGCAGACAGGAACCAAACAGAAACCAACACGTGACAGCTATATTACATATTGTAATATTATATAATGTTGTGCGCTATCTGTCACGCCCACTGAAGGCTCGTCAGCTGATAGCGCTGAAGTGAATTAACCCTGGAACATAAGCTGCTCCGAAGCAGGTTATCTTCAGAAAGCAAGTTGCTATGGTTACTTACATACCCTGAAAGTAACCTCGGATTTTGGAACTGAAAGCTGAGGTTATCCGCTCACTTATCCTCAAACATACCTGGGTATGTCACATAACCTGCTTTCTGGAATACCCCCCTGCTCAGTCAGTGCCAGTTATTGTTTGTGTCTACGTTTTGTGCTACTTTGGTTCTAGTGATTCTCTTGTGTTCCTTGTGGATTACTTATTAAAAGACCATTGTGGATTATTTCTTCGTTGTCGTGCACTCATTTATAAGCATGAGCGTGACAATAAATGTGAAAAGGCCCATTGCACACTCTTTCTAATTTGTGTCTGTGTAGAAGATACATGCGAATAGACCATTTAACTATGCAATATTAAGCCATAAACCCTTTTTTTATAAAAACAAAAAAACAAGCTGAATTAGTTTTTTCATTTCCCCTTTGAGTGGGACCATTAATTGTACATGTAAGTTTGAAGAGTATGTAGGTTGCTAAAATGTTGCTGAGTTGTTCTCGGTGGTTGTTTGAGGAATGCTAAGTGGTTTCTAAGGTGTTCTGAGTGGTTGCTAGGTTGTTGCTTAAGTTAGGTGCTTGCTAGGCAGTTACTAGAATGATCTGTGTGGTTGATAAGCAGTGGTGGTTAAGGTGCTCTATGTGGCTACAAGAAAGTATAGCATGTTAACGGGCTTGCATGTGTTTACATCTGAATGGTCTGATCTTCTAGGAGAGCATCAAGCAGCTTCTTTTACAGTGAGAAACCACTCCTGCTCTCGGCCGTCAGACTTCAGACACGTTCATGGTGTCATTCTCAGAAGGTTTGCCAGTTCCTTCATACCAGCTGCAGGAGCCATCGCTGTGTCTGATGCAGGCAGACTCATGAACCGATTTTCCGTCCTCAAATGGCCATAAGTATGACCAGTCTGTCAGTATACACTCATTTTTGGTGCTGGGTTGACAGGGCTTTTCAATGCAGGTAGAGATCTGTAGAGATCACAGTTTCAGAGAATATAA